AGCAGAGCAACAGTAATAAATATTATTAAAGGCAGGTGTGGATGAAATTAGCCTAGCCCTGTAGGGGAACTATCAAATTAAACCTAGAAAAATGTTAGTCCATACACAACATCAATCTTGTGCTCTTCTGCAAATGAACAGTAAATGAAAAATAGTGGATGCGTGTCATCCAGACCTCACAGTGTTGACTAGATTTCATTTTCTCATGTATGCAGAAACAGTTTTGATGTGTGTGTATTAACACTTCTCCACAGGCTATGGATGAATTTAGAACACCACATCTGAAGTTCCCAGCTCCAAGCTTTTCTGGAGCTGTTCTGATCCACCTTCCACCAGCCCTGTGGAGTGAGGCTGAATTCCATAACTGTGTGCCTGCTGTCATCTCCTTGGCTCCAGAACCCAAACATACAGCCCAGGTCACCACCTAATGGACTATTTTAAATGGCATTTCCTCATCAAAATGTGCCTGGTGTCTTTGTTTGCGGGAGCTGTGTGCCCAAATATCTCATGTCTTTCATCTCTCTGAACCAGGTTTGGCTTCCCTGAAATCAAGATGGTTTCCCCAGCTGGAAGAGGGGAATCTTATGTGGAAGTACTGTGTGTGTCCTAATGAGCTTTTGGGAGAGGTGGGGGTTCACACCAATAGTCCTCAACCACCAGTTTTTGTAAATAAGATTGAAAGCCCACGTGGCTTCATTCCACATGGCCTTTGTGCTGCTCAGCCCTTTGGGTAACTCATACAGGAGAGAGATCTGGCTATTCCTGCCCACCAGGAAATGTATCAGCCTTTATCAAGGCATGGGGCTTTTGTGGAAATGGATCAGATACGCAGTGTACCCGTGGAAAAGTCTAGCTTTCGTGGTAAGACAAGCAAGGAGATAGCTAAGGGGCAAAACCATTTAATGAATGAGTTCTAAAGAAATACAAAGAGTGAGGTATTTCAGACCAAACTAAGTATGAACTCCTGCAAGCAGCTAAGGCTTCTCCAATGGTTCTGGAGAATTAAAATGCTCTGAAAGGTCTGGTCCAGCCCCAGCCTCTCTTCCTCTGTCCTTTCTGACACAGAACAGGAGACAGGAACAGCGGTTTTCTGAGACAGAGAAGACGGTGGATCCTTCTGGGTGAAGGGCAGAGGGAAGGACAGGCAGTGGGAAACCATATGGATCAGTGCATCCCCCGGCCTCTTGTCCCCCTTCTCGCCCCAATCACCAGCCACAACTCTGTGCTCTGCAGAGCCCAGCGCAGCCAAGGTGGCGGAACGGGCTAATTAAAAAGGCAGCTTTAAAATGCCAGCCCCCGGTTGCTTGGAAATGGAATCTAACCATGGTATTATTTTTGAGCTTGGATTTTTTAATCTAAAATTCCATGTGATGGAAGAGATGGGTATTTAAACAGATGTCTGCAATTTCTTTAAAAAACAGAGATTGAGTTACAGATGGTGAAAAAGGGCCTGAGAATTAAAAACTCCTGAGCTACAAGGAAATTTACATGTGAGCAAAATGACTTGCTGAGATGAATGGTCCTGCAAGTCTGCATGTTTGAAAAATAAGCTTATTTCACCAAAAATATGAATATATTTTCCTTTCTGCATTGTCTGCTTCTCTACTGGCAGCCATCACCATCATCAATCAGCCAAGCTGATAGGGAAGGTCCTGTTTCTAACAGGCAATACATGCAGGTTTTTCCTTCTCTTATCTCTCGCACAGACTTTTGGCCTTCCAGGACCAAAACGCTGGATCTGAATTAATTTAAGAGGAAAATGAATTTACTCCATCTGTATATTTGGTTCCTGATTTCTCTCACTTCCATTTTATAAATTACAAATAAGTGGACTTTCATTACGTTGGTCTGAAAGGAAACCAAAGTCCTCATCTCTGCTTCCAAATGAAATTGTTTTTTTTTTTTTCCTTCTCTTCTGGTTTTGAAAAGAAAATAACCAAAATAAACATCAAGGGAAAAAAACAAATAACTTCTAACGCAACCTTTGAAGTGCAAAGAGCTGCATGTTGGGAGGAAAAACTGAACACATTTGGGAAGTGCTGGGGAGCAATTCAGGATCCAACATATCAGCTGGGAGCGTTGCGTGTTACTGCGAGGGGCTGATATTTGTGTGTTCTACAGGAGAACCTTTTGAAAGTTAGATAGAAACCACTTGTACTCTATTACTACGCTAAGGTACAAGCTTCCTGGCACCAACTTCTTATACATGTAAGAATCAATTGCAAAGAATAATAAGAGAATGTTCAGCCTATTCTTTTATAGATGATTGACAAAATGGTTTTAAAAGCGGCCTCTTGTCACTTTTAAAGACACAGAAGAGAGTCCTCACTGACTGCTCTGGGATCATTTAGGTTCGTTTTGGAGAGTGGAGAGGAAAGCAGCTTTTGCCTTAGGAATCAGATGGGTGTCAGCTGTGGGGCTTTTCTGCCCTGCCGTGGGACTGGTTGAAAGTTTCACGTTCATTGCAACTGAAAGGACAAGAGCATTGGGTTGGGTTCTTTTTAAACCAGATAGATTATTTGTCCAAGTTGTTTATTAGATATTCGATAAAGTGGAGTTTAACAACAAAAATCATAAATCTGAGCATTTTCAGCAGTCTGTCTTAAAATGCTTTCCCTTCACAGTTGCTTGTCTTTGAAATTTTATATCCAGTGATATTATAATTACATTAATTTTCCAGCTGTCAGGGGATTTTCAAAGCTGATTCTCTACTTGAAATGTAAAAATCAAGAATTCCTAGCAGCTTTTTTTGGTTAAACTTCTGGATAACGTTTCAAGCTGGTTATTTGTCAAAGGGGAAGAAGGAAAAAAAGAAAGGAAAATGGCATGGCTCTGTTATGGTAAAAAAAGAAATATAGATTTCATTGGTCTCGTTGGAAATAAAAGGGGGGGGGGAAGAATCATAGTATTGAGTATTTTATTTAATACTGTCTGCCATGGGAAATAAGGAGACTGCCTTGGAGTATAATCGTTCAAAACGTCTGCTGCTCTGAAATACGGTGATATATGAAATAAAGGAGGGTGGCAAAAGATGACAGCAGTGAGAGTGAGACTGAAGGAGAGCACAGAAATGCTGAAAGAGAGGAAGAGAGCGGTGAGCTGTGTGCTCCACAGGCTGCACTGTATGCACATGGAGTGGCTTTCTGAAGGGGCTGTTCCCTCTGCATCGTGCAGACAGACATGGTGCCTTTAGGAGGCCCATGGGAAGAGGAGGAATGTCTCATCTGAAGGACTTACATCCACTTGCAGAATGGGGCTGCGCTTGGTGCTCAGCGTGAGCTGTGCAGGGGATCTGCGCCCTCTGTACTTCGGGTCTCCCCATACCACAGCCCTGTAATATTCACACACGTGAATACCAAAGGAGGAGGGAATCACCACCATCCTCTGCTGGAGCTGGGTCAGAAGTGACAGATCCTGTCACAGACAGAAGCTGAAGAACTGATTCATTTTAAAAGCATATTTATAGTTCTCATTTGCAGAGATCTCAGAATACCTCAAGGAAATGGCAAACTATATTATACCAAACAGTGCGAATCAATGGGAATGATGCACAACTTAGGACTCCTTATAGCAGCAGAGGAGTTAAGATGGAGTCGTCCATAGGGCGTTGGCTTCATGCAGTGCTGATGGCAACAAGTGGTTTGCACAATCCTCACCCTTTCCCCACCCCTGGGGCTTTGCTACTGACTTCAGCTAGGGACAGAACTTCATCCTGTTTGGCACTGGCCAGGAGACCACAGTGTGCCACACTTCATAAAGGAGAATATCTCATCCTTATGGAGCAATGGAAGGAATTTCTGAAGAAACGTGGTTGTGTTTTTTGTTTGTTTTTGTGTTTTTGTTTTTGTTTGTTTGTTTTATTTTTTTAGTATGTGGGATTGCAATTCCATTTTGGCTTTCCAGACATCAAGAAAAAGCTGTCTGTTAGGGTGATGGTCTGCGTTGGTGTCACTGCAGAAGGGGTTAAGCAAGCAGCCATAAAGCCTTTCCAACAACTTCAAAACTTTCCATGAAGGAACGGATGAATTGACAAGAGATAATAAGAAAAGACAAAAATAATCATCTCGCTGGCAAGGTATTAATTATAGCTTTGTGTGGGAGAAGCTAAAATCCTCTCTGTGGACCGGGTGCCTTCTCCCAGGGAACAACCGTGCCCACTCTGCCAGCAGCAGGACAGCAGGGCCACGGCTTTGTATGGATCCTCGTCCTGGGACTGGGAGGGCAGCAGCACTGCCACGGCAGCGCAACGCGGCTCTTCCACCTTAGGGCGATTTTGCCTTCAGCAGTAAGGAAACATCCCTCTTTATTTTCACGGAACCTTTTCACGGAAGTAACGCGTGGCCACCGTGTGTGGCACCGCTTTGCAGGGCTGCTGCGAGGGCTCAAAGCTGCCGCTCGTCCCTCTGCTGCAGGCTGTGCCCGGGGCTGGCGGGTACAGTGCTGGCGGGGCCGGGGGGGTTCGGCCTGCCAGGGGCTGAAGCTGCCCGATGGTTCCAGAGCTCCCTGGGACCCATGGCAGAATGCCGGGATTTGGTCGTTTCCCTGGGAAAACAGAAGCGCGAAAAGACGCGGGCAGAGCCGGTTCCCTTCTGAGCCAGGAAATCTCCGGCTTGCGTTTCACGGGACACCCTTGGGGTCGGTGCCGGAGGGCTCTCCGGGCTCTCGGATCGCAGCCGGATCCGGTCGGCTCACGGCCCCACGCCGTTCTCAGTCTCGCGGTGACGGAGCAGCGGTCCCGGTGCGCGGGGCCGCTCGGCAGCCACCCACACAACTTCCCCCGAAGTTTTGGCCCCGGCAGCCCCGAGGCGCGCGGCAGGAGCCGGAGATACCGGCAGCCCCATCCCTCCGGGCTTTCCACCTCTGCCGGACACCCCCACCCGGCAGCGCGGTTCCTGCCCGAGCCGGGGGCGGGGAGCGGAGGGACCCCGGGGGCGCGCCCGCCGCTCCGCCCCGCTCCGCCCCACCGCCCCCGCGCTGCCGCCTGGCGGGGCGGCGGGTGCCGCGGGAGGCTGCTCGGTGCCGCCGCCGCCCGGGAGGGAGGTTATGTAAGGGGGAAGGGAGGCGGCAGCGGGAGGAGGAGCAGGACGCTTCGCCGTGCCGCCGGGCAGCCGCAGCCGGGAGCCGAGCGGCCGCATGTGCGAAGTGGGAACCCGGCCGCCGCTGGCCGCCGAACGCGGGGAGCCGCCCGGGGGGGCCGCCGCCTCCGAGAGGTGCCGAGACATGGGGTGAGTCCGCCGAGCCCCGACCCGGCCCCGCCGCAGGTGCCGGAGTGCCCTGCGGTCGCTCCCGGTGCCGCCGTTTTGTAGCGCAATTAATTATTTACCCGCGGCGGGAGCTCCCAGCCGAGCCGCGCCGGCGGAGCGAGCTGGAGCAAAACCCCCGGCGTGAGGGGCCGGCGTTGCGGACCCACCGGGACGGCGGGCAGCGCCGGGAGTGCGCGGCGGGGAGCGGGCGGGGGTCCGTTGGGCAGCGCTCAGCCCCGGGCTGCGCCGTGCCGCCGGCAGCTGCCCCTGCCCTGCTCCGGCTGCGGGAGACGTGGCCGAAACTTGCCCGAACTGTGTCGGGCGTTCGGGAATCCGTGCAGATGTCCTCCGTCCTTTTATTTCTAATCTCTGCTCGCATGTGTTGATCTCTCGCAGAATTCATCTTGAGTTTCCCCCAAAGCATTCGTGCCTTTCTCCTATCCTCTAACTTTAACGCGAGGACAAAAGCCGAGTGCTGGCGTTCGAGCAGTGTGTGAGCTGAACATCGGAGCGGAGGTGAACGTGGTTCCTTAGGTTTCAGCCTAATGCTTGGAGAACCTCAGGACCAAAACCGTTTCGGGGGATTCCAAGCTTCCGTGCTCAGTTTGCTTTAGTTTGGTGCCATTAGGCTCTCGTACACCTTTTTCTCCCCCCCAACCCGTGGCTGGGTGCTGCTCCCCAGGCTCTGGGCATCCTTGTGCCGCTTCCAGTTGTGCAAGCTCCCCCTCTGGATTGGTGTATTGCCATCAGAGTGCTATAATTTGAGACAATATGGATAAATAATGAATTAAAATGCCATGCGTATGCCTGAATTTGATACTCGGCAGCACTGAATACAAACCCAGAGGCAGAGGGGAGAAATAAGATCCAAGTGGATGTCTCCTGATGTTTCATTGCAGGATGACAAGGGGCTCATCTTCTTCAGCGTGTAAAGTTCCACTAGAATTAAATAAAATACCCTTGGGGTCCTAGAAAGTAGCATCACAACGTGCTTGCTGCTGGAGCAGTGCAGCCCTGCTGAATTCAGGCTGGGCTGCAACACCTGGCTGAGGGAAGCCCACCAGTGCCCCCGCACCTGGGTGTCTCTAAGGGCAGGTGTCTGCTGTGCTGTTTTTATCTGCTCTCTGTGCTGCTGGGTGAGCTCAGCTGGGAAGTGCAGCCAGGGGATGAAGGCAGCGCTCCCAGCCCTGCTTGGTGCTGTGCTGCCCCAAGAAGGGCCCTGCGGTGCCCTGGGTGCAGGTTGGGCTGCGCTCTCCAGTCCGGTTTGGTACCTGATTCAATGTGTGTGGCTTCAGTTGGTTCCTGTTGGTCTGATAGGGAGCTCATGCTCCTGACACCGTTCCCAGGGCTGCAGCATGGGCTGCGCACACCGGTAGGCTCTGTGCTGAGTGGTTTTTGCGTGGATGTGTTGGAGGTGTCTCATGTCATTACCTTGCCATTCACCTTTCTGGCACAGAGAACTTCAAGTCTTGGTAGGAGAGCTTGGTACACCTGGCCAGGAGCCATCTCCATCTCTGCCTGTGTGTGTCGCAGCCTTGTCTTCTGTGGAATGGGCTCCTCTGTGCTCACCCAGCCCCATACTGTGCTGTGTGGGGCAGTGCAAAGCTCAGCCTGATTTGGAAGAGCAGATTTTGTCCCAGCGATTCCACAGGATTTGCTTCCTGGGCTCAATTTGGTGTCACACGTGGGGCAGATTCCCATGGGAATTGTGGCAATAACTTGACTCCCAGCACTGAAAATATGTTATTATTATTTATTTTCTATTTCTGTTTTCTTCCTTTGGGGGTGACTGTTGCTAATGATTCATTTAAGTGCTTCCTATGGATTTGGCAGTGATGGATGGTGCTATGAAACCCGATAGAGCCACTCGAGCTCAGCAAAGCTATTTAAATTGCTTATTAGCTGTGAGCTGAGCTTTTTAAACTGTTGTTTTAGTTCAGCTTAGTAGGCAGCAAGGTAGTGTCAAGTTTTACAAAAGTCATTCATGTGCTCAAAACCAATGAAGGCTGGAAGCCAAGGGATGTTGAAACAAAAAGTGTATGAGCAAAACCAGGCACAATAGTGCCTGTTGTGTCCATGCAAACCGTATCTCTGGGCCAAACTGTTGTTTGAGGTCTCACTATGCACTTGTTTACTTTGTAGGGAAAAACCTTCGTGTAAGTCACAGCTTTCTTGTACCCAACTTGTCTGACAGCTGTCGCCAGCTCAATAATGCAAGGAACTAAGCTTAAAAATAACACACTGTACCAAATTTCCAGTTGTAGAGGCTTTTGTCTGCAAATCTCTTGAATTGTGTGTTGGTGCTGCAAGCCAAGTGCAACTGAAGCCCAGAAGATGGGCAGCAACTCTGGGGCTCCAGTGTCCATGGGCTCTGCCCACTGATCTAACAGCCATGGTCTGATGTAGTTATCCTCAATCCCAGCAGTATAAGTTAACTTTCCAGTTATGAAGCTGCTTCACTTACAAGGTGATTTATGGAGGTATGGCCACGCTGCATCCTTTGTACTTATGCTCTTTTACTGTTTTCATTTCTTTAGTATCTTTGCATTTCCTTATCTGTCAGTTACAAAATACTTCTTGTTATGAGGCACGTTACAAGTTTGGATTAGATGTGGAAATCACTGCTGCTGAAGCTGGTATTTATATTATCTGTTGGATTAAAATTCAACTAATTTAAATATCCTCTGGCAATAAATTTGTTTCAAATCTGTTTTTATAAAACCGTATCAAGTGAAAATCAGGCCTCTGAGTGTTAGAGATGACTGTAGAAAGCTGCCTACCAATATGAGAGCAATGTGAGTGTGGCTGTGTGTGTGAGCTTTATAGGTTAATGATGAATTAGCAGACGTTTCTGCTGGCTGGTGTGAGGTGCTCTTCCGTGCTGCTGCCATGGGCACCCAGTGGGTGTCCCTGCCTTCTCTGCAGGGAGAGAAGATGAGGTCCCAAGCCTGGGTTAGGCACTGCATGGAACAATCTCATTGCACAGAGCCTGGGTCCTGAGCAGATCTGTGCCCTTCCTGCAGTGTTTATTATGAGAAGGGGCACTTGGGGGCCGGTGTTTCTGAGAGCAGTGCTTTTATTATGCAGCGACATCTAAGAGCATTTTCCCTTCTGCTGGTAGCTGTGTCCATCAGATGGATGGCTGCAACGATTTGGGAGGTAACAGACTAAAGGGAGAAGGGAAGAAAAAGGTGAAGGATACAAAAAAGACGTGATGAAAATAGTGTTATGGGAGGATATTAATTTTTGGATGCTGTCCAAGCTGGCCTTTCCCAGTACCCACAGTACTTCAGATACCATGGTGATAAGATGTTGAAGAAGCTCTGTGATGGGTAGTAGCATCCTGGTGCAGGGGATGTTCCCTGGGGCCTCCATCCAGTGCCTGCTGGGATCAGCAGAGCCTCATGCCACCAGCTGCTGTGGGGCTGGTGTTCTTCAGCTGGGGCTGGGAGGAGGAGTTCTACTGCTCAGCTTCCAACTAGTGGTCGTGTTGGAGCTCAAGAGGCTGAGATCTGACAGATGCCACAGCTCTTCTTGTGATTCTTGAGGCAGCTGGCTGGGTGATGCTTGGTTTTTCATTGCCTTGCTTCCTTATGTAGCTATTCCTATTTCTGCAGAGTGGGGACGAATAGCTGCTGTTCCACTTTGCAGAATTCAGTGTCTGTGTGCAGACAGAGGTGTCTGCACACAATCCAGTAGAAAAGTCAGGTCCAGAGAGCTTCAAGTTCTGCAGCAGCATCTTGAATTCACTGAAATGGATGGGAGAACTCAGTTGACCTCAACAGAATGTATAAAACCTGTTCTTTGTAGCTCCTTTCACATGTCTAATACAACTTTAATCAGGGTAGAGAGGCACAGAGCTCAGGGAGGTGGGGCAGAGACGTGTGGCTGCCGTAAGGACGTGTGTGTGCTCGGCACTGCTGTGTCGTGGGGTGAGCCAGCAAACTAGGTTGTCCCAGTGTTGGGGCATTGGGACACACACCTGCTGCTGGCTGGGAGCTCTTGTCCCTTCTTACACAGCGATGTGAGAGGTTTGTAACGCTGCAGATAAATGTGTGCAACCAAATTAGTGCAAAAATTCCCAGTGTGAATAAACCCACAGGAAAATAAGAGAATGGTAGAAATTGTGGAGCAGGCTAAGAGAAGAAGAACAGGAAGACAGGGTGAATGAATGAATGACACGAGAGAGAGACTTGGGGGTTCAGGAGCCTGTTTGGGAGACTGTAAAGTCTGCTAGAGAGAATGTCAGCAGAATACACCAGCACAAATCCGCAACTGGCAGGAGTGCCCTGGCACACTCAAAGCCCAAGTTACTCATGCAGGAGGTGCTGAAGACAGCAAGCAAAAAGAAAACTTTAATGCTGAGAAAGTGATCGCAGCCAAGTTTCTTTCAGCTGCTAGCCTAATTAATCACTTAATTTGATTGCCGCTTGAGGACAGGCTCATAAATAAAATATCCTCCCTGAAGTTGGGATGTCCCTCTTCTGTCTGAAAAGAGGAGGGTAGTAGGTCTCCTGGTAACAAAAGCATCATTTGAAATGTTAAGAAGAGTTATTTGATGTTCAGCTCCTTTAACTGAAAGTAGTTTTAACTGGTTTGGGATGTGACGAAGTGTCTGAAACTGTATGAGTGGGTTTCCTGTATGGCTGGAAGGGACAGAGAGGAGCAGTCAGCTTGCTGGGAACCCGAAGCATGGGCACCAGCCTGGTTTCGCAGCTTGATTTTCTGCATTGCTCTTTATTCACTCATTTGGTTGCATTAATGCAGTGCCTACAATAAATAGCCTCACCCATGAAAATATATTTAAGGAAGCATAAGCATTTTGAGTCAGCCATTCGTTTTCCTGTTGACTTTTTGATAGGGCAGTTGCTGAGTGGGGAGGCCTGCAGGGTGTCCCACGGTCAGCTCCGTTCCTGCTTTCACCTTGAACGCCGTCCATCACCTCCGTGCACCTTGCGTGCTGCAAGTACAGCGTGTGGCTT